AACTTCAGCGATTTGCGCCTCAGCGCGTCGAACGCTCAGATCGTTCAAATCGCGCTGCTCTAATCGCGCTTGAGGCGCCGCAGCTCTTCCCGACGCTGCTTGAAGCGTGTCCACCATAGACTTTGTATGTAAACCTGATGCTCCTGATGCTGAAATCGCGTTTGGTGTGAACGCACCATCAGTCCTGAAGTGTAAAAATAATAATAAAATTCACAATATATTTTTTTTAGGTTTATGTCACCTCCACTGGCCATAAAAGTTCACGAAAAGGCTTTAAAAAGGCCCACGGACCACCAGTTGATAATCACAGCTGTAGATCATTTTGTGGCTCTGGACACATTTTATTAGTGAGCCCAGGAGGAGAAATGGCTCTTTTGATTGTAAAGGTTGCAGACCCCTGCCTTAGTCAAATACTCACATATTTAAAAGAAAAAAAGAAAAGAGTTAATGTAGCCGGGGGAGTAATTGCAGCTTGTGTCAGATCCGGCCCTGAAAGGTCAAACTGAAATGGCACATGTTTGACAGTGTGTGGTAATCTTCTGGGACTCTGCTTGTCTGTTTTGGGACATTTTTACAAAACTGCCTGACTAAAATGATCCTAACAAGGCAGAGGCATGAGTCTAAYATTAACTGAAGATGCCTTTAAAGCATCACTTGAAACTCAAAATATCTGTAAGCTGCTGGGTTCATGGGAGCTACAGTGGAGTGCAGACCAAAATATACTAAATTTATGAATCTCGATGTGGAACTCGTTTATTTTAATACCACACTTTATGTCCATGTACAACGCGTAGTTTAATAAAACACACTTGATATGATTATATGGATGAAAACCTAAATTTATTCCTAATGTCTTGATACAAACTGCACATGTCTGACATAAAATTTATGAATCTTGGATATACAACAAAACATGTATCTGTATATGTTACTGGTTGACTGGGATTGTTCTATCAGTAATTGATTTAATTGGTCTGTTTTGTTTAGTGCTGTACCAAACGATTATTTTCTAATCGATTAATCTAATGATTATTTTTTCGATTAATCGATTATTCTAACAAMAWATCTAAAAGTTATTCTGATGTGAGTGCACTGGATATTTAAAATGTTTTCATMAAATTAACAAGAACAGTTCTTTAATATTGTAATATTTTCTGTAATAGTTTTTTTCATGGACACAAAATATGCACTCTAGAGTCAATTCTTTAACAAAAAAAAAGCTTAAAAGATTTAACATCAACATAAAATCTCAACCAAAGCATATAAARTTCAACTAAAAGAAATATAGTGCAAGATGTTAACAATCGAACAAATGAACTAAATCATGCAAAATTCAAGTCACTCTCTGGAAAACCTATAATAAACATATAATAAACATTTATTTATTATTTTTTATTTAACATATTTCTCAATATATAAAATTTAACAAATATCAAGACAACATCCAACTCTTTGTATTGTAACATCAGTTGTGTAACTTATTTCTTTAAGGTGAAAACTGTTAAACAACAAGACTGTTTTGTCTTATTGCACAAATTAAAATCCAGCTCCACGTGTTTCTATTGATGTCATTTCCCCACTAGAAAAATGTGTGATGGAGGTCCATGGAAGGCAAATAAGTTTAAATCAAATAAACAAAAGAGAATGCAGTTAAAATAAATAAAAGGTATTTAAGCTACGTTTTGAACATCCAGAACACGTCCAACACTTGTTGGCTGCTTGTGCTCTTTAGGTCAGACGTGTGTCGGGAAGCTCCTCTGGAACCATCTAATTGGGGAATGTGGCTCGACCTGACACCGGTCTCTGTTTAATGGTGGATGAAATAAAGAAAGTGGTGGTACTTTTACTTTGAGCAAGCGAACGTCATGTTCACAAGATAATTAATCCACCAGATCAAAGAGAAAAARAATTGTATAGGTCTTCTGGAAACACAGACAGGATTCCATGCAACCTTCAGGTGAAAATGAAGACCCCAAACCCAAACCAGTGGTTATTCTCTATGTTGCGGGTGTTTCGGAGAAACTGAGACGTTTATTTTGTAAACATGATGTCCCAGAAACACATTACGGCAAAACACATTACGGCAAAGGCTGGTTCACCCCAAAGATCCGGTGCCCCGGCACAAACAGAGCAATGTTGTATATGCTGTTAAGTGCCAGGAGGACTGCGWCCAGTTATACATCGGGGAAACAAAGCAGCCACTGTTCAAAAGAATGTCCCAACACAGACGAGCTACATCTAATGGCCAGAACTCTGCAGTTTTCACTCATTTACAGGCCAGCGGTCACTCTTTCAGAGATGAGGATGTTCTCATTCTTGATAGAGAGGAACGTTGGTTTGAGAGAGGAGTAAAAGAAGCCATTTTTGTGAAGAAAGATCGTCCCCCTCCTACAGTGCTGCTATTGCCAGTATCACTTCACCCCCTGTTAACAATAGGTGTTAATTAGGTGTCAACGATAGCCATGTGATGTGAGTATCAGTCACGGAAGCAGTGCTTAAAAGCCTGAAATTTGCCTGAAACTCTCAGACTGAAGAAGTCTCTTGGAGGAGAGATGAAACGTTTCATTAGAGAAGAACCCGTCCAGAAGACCTACACAATTTTTTTTTCTTTTTGATTTTTTTACCTGGATTACTGAGATGCATCAGGACAATCCACCAGATAATTCAGAGGTGGTCTGTTTGGTAAATTTTACTCCAGGAGCTGCGAGGCTTGTTTTCAAGCTTCAGACTGAACTGAAGCAGCGGCTGCTGACGTCATTACGCTCTTGCGCGATGCTGCATTCAGGACAAGCATGGAAAACTCACCACTCTTATGCCAATACGGTCGCAATGATGCATTTAGGTACCAAATGGAATTGCATGAACATTCACATGGTGGTTATGTAATACAGTGAATCGATAATAAAAAATCTTCGTTGACAAATTTACATAATTGACGTCATCGATTATTTCAACTAATCGGTGCAGTCCTAGTTTTAACAAAAACAGAATTTCTAATAAGTGTTTTTTTTTTCTTTCTCACATGGTCATCCATCGCTGGTCTTGTCATTTTTACCAGAACGAAGACAAGTAGATCCAAAGAGAAGACACAAAAAGCAAAGTCTCCCAACAAGGTAAAATACAGATTTTTACTATCYGTAGCTGTGTTTCTCCTACACTACATGGGACTAGTTGTAGCTAAAATACTGCATTGGTGATTCAAGACGTATCTCTTGATGTGATAAAAGGTTTTTGCAAAACATCAGCATTTATATCTGCTTCAACAGTTCGTTGCATTAGGTGAGCGAGGCAGTTGAAGCAGTCAAGTCAGAGCAAATGCTGCAGCTTAATATAAAATGTCTGTTTTACAGTATTGATCATGCAATCTGTGGGAAACGTTTGAACAGATGATTTGAAGCCAAAACTAACTCACCACTACTCTGCATGCTTATCCATTATTGTGACTGCAGCCACTTCGATGTGTGCTGTTTTGAAAGCGAGCTGTGTGTCATCTAGAAAGTTGCCAAATGTTAAACGTCACGACAAGGCTCATTAAGGCATGACACTGACACATTCACTTTCTACTAGATTGATGAAAAGTAGTGCACAACTGGGAAAATAAGCAAACTTTCAGTCTAAAAACTGGGTGTCCTGGATTTTTGCAAACCTCTAATATTTAATTTTTTCAATTGATTCGTCACTGTGTTTACTTTCCCCTCAGATTGAAGATCAGTGTAGGTGTTTTAAATGTTTTTATTTCACCTTTTTATTCAAAGGTTTTAGATGTGTATATTTTATAATGTTTCATAAAGGCTTTTGCATTCTTCATATATGAAAGTAAGATCAAACTCTTTTATAATTTTCACCACTTCCTTGTCTCCTTCGTAGGTCAAGACAGAAGCCCAGGCATCAGTCAGCAGTTCCAGGTAGGGAATCATTTCTAATGTCTGGAGATGATGTATTATTAAAGGCTGAACAATAAACTGACAAACGATTATATTGCAAATGTGCCAACAATCCATTTCCCCTCCCCTCTTCCCTCCCGAGGTGATGAAAATTGATTCTTGCGTTCTGATGTTTAGGGGCTCCGGAAAGAGGCACTCTTGTTTTGCGAAATGCGCTAAGCTGTCTCGGAAAATTAATTTTATATCGTGCYGAAGAAGACAAATATCCGCGGATTGTCATGAAAGTAACAAATGAGAGCGCGTGGCTTCGGTGGCTGGGTGCTCAGCGGGAAGCTGCATCGATGGCAGACTTTGGCCAAAGACCTGCTGAGTCGAATCTGTCTCCCAGCAGTGCTTCTGAACAGTTGATAATGGATTATTTCCCAGATGTAGATTTAACCCAACCCGACATTATAAGAGACACTTTGAAGGATATGTCAATCGGAGACAAAAAACTCTTTTGCTAAATTTTGTCTTTATAAGTTTCCCGTCAGTTCTCCGCCCCCGGGATGATTCAGGGTGGGAGTTGTGCTGCTCCAGCAGGTTTTCTGCGGGGAGGAAAGCTAAGGCCTCGCAGCAGAGCAGGCGAAGAAACGTGAAGCTATTAGAAGCACAAACCGTAAATGTCAATGGAAGCAGTGACCCGCCCGTCTTTTCTATAGCTTTTATAGATTTTGGTCAGTGGTGCAGTCTACWAAACAAAAGTGATACTTCATACCAACTCTGACTTTTTCTCTCCTCAACAACTTATTAAAATACATTTCAGCTCTTAGCTAAAAAAACAAAGCACAATGAAAATGTTTGACAAAGACCCCATCTTTGTCTTTAATAAAAAAGAGCTTTACTTACAAGTAGCTGACCCTGTGCAAGGAGAAGAATATTGATGTGTTTGTAATTACTTCAGGAATGGATGTGATTGTGACACACTCTGACACTTGCTGGCTGAAACTGGAGTTCCTGCATTTACTTGTCACATTAGAGATCCATCTGTCCCTGATGGAAGCTGTGATGAACAAAACCTTATGCAAAGGGGAACCTGCTGGAACTAATTTAGTCAGTGTGGGTCTGTGTTTCCAGGCTTGTCCCGTAGTTCTGTCAAATGCAATTCATGTCCAGGTGTTTATGAATGTAATAGTAGTAGTTTTTGCTTTGGTTAGCCTAATCACTTTATAAAAGGTGCTGTTCCCTTGGGAACTGTAGCTTGAAATAAGTGTGGCAATAGGTTAAAGCCTTGGCTTACAATAAGCTAACATGCTGCATGTTGGAGTGACTGACYGAAGTGACTGTGTCAGCAGAATCTCCTTTAGCAATAAGTGCTGACAGTAGACCTCCTGTATGCTTTATTTTTGCAGGTTTGTGTTCTGAAAATACCATTAAATGCAGAATAAACAATTAAAATCTTGATAAGGARTTTGACTTTGCCTTTATGTGGTCAAAGAGGTTCAATGTGACTCTTTCAGTAGATGTTTTCTTATATTTTAATGAATCCTAAAGCCATTTTTCCAACTGTAAAACACTGATTTCATAAAGTGACTATTTAAAGCCTGACGGTGACTTCCAACGTTGGTGTGGTTTTTAACCAGCGTGATCAATGCAATACACACCTGCAAGAATGTGGTTTACACTATAAAAAGACCTTGTTTTTTTAAAAAACTGCTCATTCAAAACGTGACCACATGATTTGCTGCTTATTTGCTTTCAAATACTTAAAATCTAGTGGAAAGTTTTCATATTTTCTTGCAATTTTCACATAATTTTGAGTTGGTCTGAGATTCCTCCTTCAGCCTGATGAGTTGCTACTATGCAGACTTTTATTTGGATTTAGTAACACAATTTGACAGTTTTATTCTACAGTACTGTACTTAAAAATGATTTTGTTGTAAACCTTTGTCACGCATTACTTGAGCATATTAGTTTTGCATATTTATATTTTCATGTCCTGAAATATAGAGGCCAGCTTGGATCGTAACAGGTTAATTAAAAAAACAAACAAACTGGGATTTGTTGGCAGTTGTGGTTCTAATTTCTTAATTTTGGTCATTTCCTTTCTTATTGATTCTTCTCTGCAGGGAAAACCCAAGCTTCCAGTTCTCYATTTTTTTTGTCCATTTCTAAATGCTGCAATTATGTCATTATCATTACAGTTTCGAAAATCTTTCTTAATTACTACAATTATGAGTGATTACTTGTGGTCAGTAAATTGTGTGCTTAACGATTTTTTTCTTGTTTTTTTTTTCTTTTTTTTTGTGTGTGGAAGTATAATTTTTTTTAGCCAAACTGTAGCCTGCCATTTAGCAGCAGGAATAAAAGAAGCCATTTAGCTTTTGTTTCATCTGATTATTAGGGTTTACATAGAGATGCATTTAGAAAAAAAAAATCTAGATTTAAAAAAACTGGAAAATGTGCAACACTAAAACTTCTAAAATGTGTTTGAAGTTCTTAACAAGTGTGGGGTCAAATTAAAACTAATTGAAAACATTTCGTGGACTATATTTAAAAAGGGAGGCTGCCACCTTGCTATAAATCTAAAGCTGCWGGTAAAAATGATATTTTTTGCTCTTTAAACGGTGTTAAATTTCAGCTAAAATGTGTAACTCCTGTAAACAGCATGGATTTGTGATTAGAAGATAAAAACTAAATATTTTTGTGGTTTTAGTGACTCTGTAAAACAAGAGCCACACAGTGATGACTTTACTGTGAGTAAAGGTGTGAAGAGGAAAAGGATTAAGGATGAACCAACAGAAGGGACTTCACAGTCTGCTGCATCACCTACGTAAGTCTGATTGGATTTCTGAGCTGCAAAACTGAATTAAATCAAACTTTTTATTTTTACTTTTCGTTTCTTTAATTTTAGTTGGTTATTTTCTCATTGAAAACATATTGTTTGTGTGTAAATGTTTGATCTTATTTTATTGWATATCGTGTAAACCACTCACTTCTTTGTGTTTCTCGATTTCTGCAGCTCAAAGAGGAAAGATAAGCAACATGGKCACAAAGAAGAAAGTGAAGTAGAAGCTCAGAAAAATAAGTCCAAAGTGAAAACAGAAAAAGTAAACGTTTGTCTTCTCAGTAATCTTTTTCCATCTGCAACTCTTGTTAGATAAAGTGTTTTTTGAAAATGCAGGTCACAGTAAGAGTGTTTGAATCCACATCGTAAGTGTTCATCTCTGTGCAGACAGTAAAGAAAGAGGAAGGAGAACCTCCGGTCTCAAAAAAAGTGAAGAGGACAAAGGAGGAGGTGGAGGAAGCAAGACGGCTGAAGATCAAAAAGAAGGAAGAGGAGGAGCAGAGTCGCTGGAGATGGTGGGGGAATGTTGCCCTTTTCATCCTGCACTGTCATCATGCCTCCATTTATTATTTATTTATGTTTTGTTTTTGCTTTCTCATGTTGCTGTTTTTGTCAGGTGGGAGGAAGAGAAGTATGAAAGTGGAGTGAAATGGAAGTTCTTGGAGCACAATGGACCCTACTTCCCTCCTGAGTACCAGCCTTTCCCGGACAACATTAACTTCTGCTATAATGGTCAGTTTGGTACAGTGTGTTTTTTCTTTATTGTCCTTGTACTGTAGATAACGTTTGAAAAAGAGATTTAAAGTTTAAAATTCCTAATAACAAAGTCAACTTTAGGGGTGTAACGATAGATAAAACTCTCGAGACGAGACACAGTTCTGAGTTTACGAGACGAGATTTTAACATTAGTTTCAAGAAAACTTCAAAGATTTATTTTATGCTGCAAAAATGCTTTTATTCTGTTAACATTTTTTTATTACCAACTCAACTGATATCTTCCTTTTTATGAATTCTTGAATCTCCTTATAAGGAGATTCAAGGTCTATAGACCTTAAAACAGTGCTTTAACTATGCATGGCCTTCCAACATCATATATAACAAATAAAATTCGCACAGGACTTTCCAAAAACTGAACATAAATTTAAAACAAAATAAGTAGTTATTCCTTTTTCTTTATGATCTTTGCACATCTTTACTTATTCTATGCCATTTATCCATCCATCCATCCATCCATCCATCCATCCATCCATCCATCCATCCATCCATTATCTATAACCACTTCTTCCTTTCTGGGTCACGGGGGTCTCTTGTGCCCATTTCAAGCAGTCACAGTGCAAGGGGCGGGGTACACCCTGGACAGGTCGCAAGTCAACCACAAGGCCTATGACATTTAATCTTACCAAAAATTCAACATAAATAAAAACAAAATAACTAATTATTTGTTTTCCTTTGTGAACATCTATCAGATCTATCTCTAGGGCTCTGGTTGGACTGCTTTAGGAAGGGGGAGGGGCTCAACGCTCACTGTTCACGGAGGAAATGAGGAGAAAAGTGCCTAGAAAGGGCTGTCGCCAAAGCTTCTAAAAGTCWCCAAAAACTCYGGGAAAAGTCACTAGATTTGTCACTAGAGGGATCTAAAAATTCGCTAAATCTAGAGACAAATTTGTTAAGTTGGCAACACTGTTAGCGAGGCAACAGTTACCTCTCAATGAGAGAGATCGTGGGAGTTTAATATCACGAAATTTTGTACGAGATCTCGTTACACCCCTAGTCAACTCTGAACCACATGAGTTGATATAWGAATGAAATTTGAAATGATGCACATTTCAAACATTTTTTAATTTTTTTTCAAGAAATCTGGACAATGTTTTGAGAATTAAATCCAGAAGTTAGCCCTYCTGTGATGTAGGAGGTAAATTAAATCACGTCTGTGGACCGAAGCAGAAGTCATTGCACTAAACGGTCGCATGTTACAGCTTTTATTTTGTCAGGCTGGGCTTCACAGCCAGGGGTCAAAGGAAAAATGTGTTCTGTGTGCCTAAAATGGCATAACTTTCAGTTTGCTGCCTTTTTTGTTTTCCTTTATAAAGAAATGCATCCGTATCTTGGATCATATAATTATTATTATTATTATTTTTGGATTTACCATATCCTGGTTGACTGAGAATCTAGACCAGCACAGATRAAGGATAATGTTTTAGGGAAAATTCAACCTATTTTACATCCAAGTCATAATCAGTATTGTTGCTGCCACCAGGACGATATTAAAAACACGATTGGCTCGATTTCACACAGCTTTTTGTAATGACTGAGAGGCTTTACGCTCTGTTAGCATCTTACATGTATGAGTGAGAATTGGAGCGTGTGTGTGAATGTGCATAATGATTTGGTTGCACTGCAGATTAATTTTATTTTGATTCGTGGAACCAGGTGTTTTGAAGTATTGGCTGGTTTTAAAATGATCCGGCAGAACTGGAAGTATTTCAKCTTGTGCAATCCAGGATGTTAATTTAATCTTCTAAATACTGAAAGTCTAAATTTCAGACGATCTGCAGTTAATGTTGTAATAAAAAGGCTTTTGTCTCCATTAGTTTAAAACAGTTTGTTTTGCAGAGGCACGTTTTCCTGTGYTTGTTTAGGAGTTGAATAAAAATGTGTTGAGTTGGTTTTTCTTGCTTAAAATCCTAAACACTGTTTTAAAGTTAGGGTAGTAATATGTATACCCCTTTGCTGCAAGTTTACACATTTCTTTTATCTCTGAAGTTAAAACCAGTCTGAGAGATGATGCAAGAGAGAAAACAAAATAATGAAGTTATGATGCTGAGAAACTTTAAATACTGACTCACACACACACAGCTGGATCTTTAGGATGCCAGACATGTATTGGGTGAAACACTGATTGATGACTGTGATTGTTTTTGCTGTGTTTAGCAGTCTAACCACAATRCTGTCTAATGGGAGTTGGTTTGATCTGTTAATTCTTGTGCGTGCGTGTGTACGTTCGTTTGTGTAGCTCATTGGTAGCTGTGGGCTTGAATGTAGATATCTGTCCTTGTCTTTGAACTTACCTCTACAAATACATGGATTAGTTGGGCACCTCTCTAGGGGAGCTGAGGAAGGTGGTGTCGCATGTTGGATTTTCATCAAACTCCCGAGCTTCTAAAGGCTTATGTTAGATTGAGAATGAGACGTCTTAATAAACGTAGGATATGACAATAAGGCTGAAAAGATTTTACAAAGCTTACTCAGTTAAGTGCACTTTTTTATTGTCACTTTGAGCTTTTTTTGTTTGTTTGTTTTGACAAGTCTCTGTTTTGTTTAGGGAAGAAGGTGAAGTTGAGTCTGGCAGCAGAGGAAGTGGCGCTTTTCTTTGCCCAGATGTTRGACCATGAGTACACAACGAAGAAGGTGTTTCGGGAGAACTTCTTTAAAGACTGGAGGAAGGTAAAAACCAAACATCACAAGTAGAACTAACTTAACCCAGAATGATTGTGTGAATAATTTAGTGCCTGCCGGCCCTGAAACRAAGTGATAATCCTCTCCAACAAAAAGCAGGTATTTCTGATTGATGCAGAACGTCTCCAGAAACTTTCTCTTCACAAAACCTTCAAGTACAGTCCGGATCCTAACAGTGTGTGGTGCTAACAGAAGGGATATACATGTGTAAATACAGGATGAGTGTGTGATTGTGACATGTACATGCTCATTGGTGTCTGTCAGGATGTCCTCTGTATAGAGGAAACATGATGCCAAGCCTCAAGGCATATCATGCAGAATTAATTTTGCGCTGCTTAGTGCTCAATGCTCTTGAAAATATGATTTATGTGAAAGCATTGATATGCTAATCCAGACAACTAGCTTCCCTGCATATGAACAAATCCAATTATACTGTTTTATTATAGCCGGAAAAAACCCCTCCTCGCTTCACTGCCCTCAGTGCCCGCCCACTGTCTGCTGTCATTCAAGCTTAGGCACGCTGACTGACTGCCTGCATGTCCACACTGTTAGAATATCTACAGACTGTGTTTGTCTGCTTGTTCAGAGTTTTTTGTTTTGTTTTTTTTGTTTTGCATCTCGTTTTTAATGAGCAAAGATAACAGAACTAGTTACATCCATATTTACTTGAACCTGAACAGTTGGAGCATTATAATTAGTTTTTCTTAATGTTTACATTCAAATGAGATGCTCTTTAGTTTATCACCTATGTAAACATTTAAAGTCCATTGTGTGTCAGCTCAGCACTCATGTAGCAACARGTGGAGTCTGTGAGATCAGTGTTTAGCTCTTACATTAGGCCTCTATTGTTTATCATCAACTGTCACCAAAGCTGAGTGGCAATATGTTTTTGTTTTTTATTTTTTCCTGTTTGCATAGTTCCCAAAATATCTCATGAACCTTTGGACTGATTTTAATGGAACACTTGTACTAACTTATTAAAGGCTGTGTCCAAAACGGCAGGCTGGGTCCTCCGAAGGTCGAATTCGTCGGCCGCATACGTCACAGCGCCGCGACGAAGGC